TCTCGAAATGTTAAGACTAGCAATGAACAGATTCTTTGAAAGTTTCAAATGAGTGTTTGAATCAAAATTAGTAAGGGTCAATGTTTCCTTGTCAGAACCATACAGACACACAGAAGACTTGGGAAACATAAGAGTGGACACTCTTATGTTTCACCCAGCAGCAGCAAAGCATATTTAATCTCCATGAGACAGCAGCTGATGTAAAGCTGCAACCAGCATCATCCATCAAGCTTGCTAATGTCTCCACTTCTTGGGAAATAACATTTCCACAAGTCACAGAGAATAACTTATCAACATTGCGGTAGAAATGCTTGCGTCAATAGCTCCTTAAACCATCAAAGGAATGTTCATGTTTACACAACTTAATTTGAACGTTTGTAATGAATTCATAGATACTATATCACAAAGCAGAATTGTAACAGGGCTTGAATTTTTAGGTGTTAACTGATAATAACTGAATAAACACTAATGACGGTTTTATTTAGACCAACTGATTTAGAGTAACATGTGGTGAAACAATTTAAACATTCACTAAGCAATTCCAAAATGTGTTGAAAACCCAAAATTCCCTAGTATGTACCATCAACAGAGTGAGTTTACAGTATGCACCTAACTCACTTATTACTGAGGTATTTATCAAAACATATTTATAGCTTAATTTGTCTGATTATTTTTTATTGTAATTCTCATTACAAATCATGCATGGCATACACTGCCCAGCTCCTCTCAAGACCAGGGAAATCCTGTTTTGGGTTTATACCTTATGTGCTGTATATATGGCAAAAAGAAATTTATCTTTCAATTTGATGAAAAAAATCACCTGCAAAAATATTTCACTGAAAACTAGTCAATTTAATCAGACAGCAGTTCATCCCATTTAAATCTCATGGCAGCAGATAGCACGGGAAAGGCAGAATATGATGTAATAGAATGATTTCCAGAATTTTATAAAATTTCACAAAACAAGTTCTTTATTGAACAAGGCTGTTTTTTATTTTGTTGCATAAATTTTCACAATTTGCATGTTTTAAACAAAGTTATCCACAATGAAATAGGTTTGACCCTAATTCAGATTTGGTGGCTGTGAAATTTATGGTCATCAATCAGATTTTAGGGTTGCTCTGTCATACTCATCTTCTGCCATTTTCATTCTATTGTATTTGATATTAACAGCCACAATGAAGGGACGACACAAGCCATGCTGCACAATATTTGGAAATGTGGTTACCTAGCCTCAACGGCTATATATAGCAGCGTTTGGTTTGGCTGAATCCCACTGCTACCACCACAAAGCTGGCCCATACACTTCACACCACTAATGATTAGGTCACACAAAAGGGGAGAGCATGAACTGGGAAAGGAAAGAGAGGGAAAAAGAAAAAGAAAAGGAGGGAAACAGAAAGAAAGAGGAGTGATTGCTCCTAGCAGTACTGACCTGCCAAACCTCTACAGCCTTGCAGTCAGGAACCCATATGCATTTGTCAAAGCCTATTATAGAACATTACAAAACCTTCAATTCACTTGTCACTTAGATGCATATATTCATGAGTCCACTGGATATGTTCCTATTACAAAAGAGTTATTTTTATAACTGTGACACATCAAATTGTTTGCTTGTAAAATGATCTTTCATAAATACACGCATAGTCACTCTTGTGATTACAGTATTGTTGTATCACTAAGGATGGTCAGTACAATTGAACAGTCTAGTGTAGGAGGCAATAGTCTGTAGGAGACAACACTTTGGCTTTTCAGCAACATCAGACTTTGCCCCATGACTGGGGCTTCCTGTCCAGCACAACTAATGCAATACCAATATTGTAGAAAGCTATAAAGGGCCACAGTCAGTTACTGCATTACACTGTGACTAATGTTAGAGAATTTCGTCCATTTTCAAGAGGAATTCTACATCTATACTTTGATATCTTACATTTATATTTATTCATTTGGCAGGCACTTTTATCCAAAGCAACTTACAAGTGAGGCAGAGTACAACACAAGCAAAAAAACATATGGAGTCAACAATATTAGAAGCACTGCCTGACCAGGATTCAGTGGTTTGCCAGATAAAGTACAAGCTAGCTGGTAGAGATAACGAGTGTGTTAAACCCTTAGATTACAATTATTTTTATAGTTTAATAGGGAACAGTTTCAAGACTGAGAAATTCCTTTAGGTGGTAGTGTTTCAGGTGCTCAAGTGTGGAAGTTCATTCCACCATCTGGGGACAACAGCGGAGAAAGTTCTGTATAGTGATTTTGCGCCACAATATCTTGCACATATCTGTTAGCTATTTATCATATATTCACATCCAGGATGGGTAGGTGGTTCAGATGTAAACTACGGAAACTGATCTGTTCCTGTTGGTGTTTATCACATTGCTCAAGGTATCTGCACAATTTCATGGCATAAAGTTAAAAAGGTAAAAAAAAGTACTCAAACACAGATTGCTACATAGGTATTGCTTTGCAGAGATTATTACTCACTTAGAAAACATTGAACCGTTTGTAAACATATAAACGTCCATTTGTTTAGAATGAAATGTGGATTTCATCCCCTCTCTGCTGTGGTTATTATGGTGTGAAAGTCTTTTGTTCTACACACCTTCAAAGCATAAAGCATTTCACTGTTGCCTCTCATTCTTACAGTAGAATACATATGTTATCTTCCACTGTTTCCTTAATAAAATCTATCTCATCTGTAGGGACAATCTTCATGATAACATTTTCCATATACTGTAGTCAGTATTAAGTGAGCATGCTTCTTTAAATATTTATATAGCGGGGGTTTTTAAATGTATTGATCTAAAATATTCAGAAGAAAACCTCCTGGTATCACTTTGTATGGCATTTATGGCAAACAACACCTCTGGATTCAGCTTCCACCATCATCTCATCTTGCTGTCTAAAGCAGAGAAGCAGGAATTAACTTCAAAAAGTTATTTGTTTTTTTTAAGTAGGATCAAGTCATTCATCATAATGTGTGAAGCTTAAATTAATGTTTTGTTCAGTGAGTTGGTGATTGAAAACAGTTATGGACGTTCATTACATCAGTGGATTTTAATCAGCCATACAAATATTTCATATTTTCATTGCCACATTCATAAGAAAGATGCTTTGTTCTTCCGATACAGTTTCTGTGTGAAGAGAAATAAAATGTGTCTTTATTTTATAGAGTTGAGAGCTTCACCTCTTCCACATTTCTGAGTGCTGTTTTTCTATCATTATCTTTATATTTTTTCTAGTCTGTACGTGACAAAATTATTTTTTTTCTCTTTGTGTGGTATATGACACAATTTTGCAGCTATTTCAGTACAACTCAAACATAATGAAATGGAACAAAACAACATGTTTTGACATTGTGCCAGAAGAGCACTACTGAGGCTCAGGCTCATGCTAACAGTTACAGCCACTATTATTATATTATATTTGAGTAGCACTGCAACTGCAACTCAGTCAGTATGTGTTTACTTACTTCAATGTTGTGTTGCTCATTGTTCATGGCATCTCTTGACCATGGCTTTAAGGGATTCCCATATTATTATCAGTGAAGCAGAGTTTGTTTTCACGAGCCTTTAGCACAACCCTCTCCAACTTTTTCCCTGCTATGAACCCATTTTATTGGTAAGCGTAACGGAAAGTATTCTGGGACCCAAAAGTGTTGCACATGAAATAAACATTTAGTTGTTGGAAATACAACATTATTAACTGACGTTGAAACAAGCACAATTTACTATTAATTCATGCAAATACTTTTAAATTCCTAGTTAATAAATAGCACGAGTGTTATGTTGTGCGTTCTTTGGACTTCCACATTTTAAAAACATTCCTATCAGTTACAAATGTTACAGAGCATGTGAAACTTTATATTGTTCAGTAATGAAGCAATTGTTTTCTTTGAAAATATTTCTCAAATATTTCCAGAACAACAGATCAACATGCTTGGCAACTGGTAAAGCAGGGATATGCAGGAATATATACACAGGCTAATAAACATTATACACAGGCTTGCTAGTGAGACGCATACGACTGCAAAATACAAGTGCTGCCATAAGTATAGTAACAGCTCCATACTATGATATATGATCCACGCTAGCACCAGGCTGGCAAATGTAGCTACAATGTGCAATTTCACAATAGCATGGTCACATTTGAGAGCGTACTTATATTAATGTGACATTTGAGTGTCCAGATAAAACTTGTCACTCTGGCTTCATAGATAGTACAGCTATACTCTCTTTTAATATCCAGTGTGCTATGGTATTGGGCATTAACTGAAGTCAATGAAAGGCTTCTTACAATTGTGCTTTCTCCTCATGTATTTTGACTGCGATCTTTATTTATTTCTTTTTTTGTACAGTGAACAGCTCATTAATTATGAATAGATAATAATTAATTGTGGTTATTATTTTGTTTTTAAGTGATAATTTGCAGCTCAAATGGCAACTCCAGTTTGGTTTATGATTTCAGGGCTGGCATATGGTGCTCTTAAGGTCCTTAAGTGGCAGCTATCCATAAAACCAGCAATGAACATCATAACATTAAAGATGAGGACTTCATGGCTAAGGATCAGTGTGAAGCATATATCACTCTTTGCGATAAAAGGGTCAGGGAAATATAGGATGCAAAGAAAAAAAAATTCAATGTTATGTTTTCTGTCCTATTAATTAGATTACAGAGTACAAACATATACAGGGAATCTGTCCAATTCAAGGCTACAAAGACTACACAGTATAATTCAAAACCACATTCCTAACTTATAAAATCCACGTGTGGCATATTTACAGTAAATGTGTTACATGTGTGAGGGTTAATGGTTAATTTCATTTTTAATTTCATATCCAAGACATCCTCAAATGTATTTTCACCTTTATTTTCTTGGACATGAACAATAGGCATTACTTAATGTAAATGGATTACACACTACAAAGATTAGATTAGATTCAACTTTACTGTCATTGTGCAGAGTACAGGTACAGAGCCAATGAAATACAGTAAATGAATGACCTGTATGGGGATCAAACCTGCAACCTTGGCATTGTTAGCATCACACTCTAACCAGCTAAGCTAATCGGTCCTGAACTGAGCTAACCGGCCCTGGGAATAGAGAAAAGCCCTTGACTAATATGTTAGAGGATAGCAAATATGGTGCTCAAGAAACAAGTCCCAGAATAGTAACCTGCTTGATGCTTACATCTGATGAGACATTTCTGTAGAAGAGATTATGGTTGAAGCAAACTGAATCATCAGCGAAACAATTTTTACAGTTGAGATTCTTGGAATATTTAACACATCAACCATCAAGGGGGAAGCACAGGCCTGGAACTTACAACACATCAGAACCTCAAAATAGTTAATGTACTAATATGTCTAATGTCTTGCAATCATATTTTTTATTTACGGAACCATATGTAACAAAAAGCACAACTCTGACTTTAAAAGCACAATGGCAACAAGATTTTTCAACTGCCAACCTAATAAACATAATAAATAGAAACAATAAATACTTCATATTAGTTCACTGAAATCCTGTCGAATTCTTATGTTTACCCAGCTATGGGTTTTGGTGAGAAATCCCAGCATGTCCACCTTACTGTAAGCTTATGGGCCAGAGGCAAACAGAGAGAAAGGAAGGGGTGGCTGCTAAGCAGAGACATTCATGCTTTCGATTGCTGTCAAGGAAGCCCAGCTCATTTGCAGAAAGCCGCAAACCTCCGCACAGCACACAGCACCTGTGACCAGAGATGGGGGTTAAGTGCTTCTGCAGACAAACATGGGCACACTGCTATTCTCCACTTAAAGTTACCACATCATTTGTCTCACACTCAGGCTCACTGTTTATACATAAAGTGCTGAAACACCACTGCTGAACCATTAGATTAATACTCACAGAAAACAGCATTAAGTCTCACCCAAATACAAACTAGTTTTCTCTATCCAAAGGATGTCCCTGTGGATATGTCATTGGCAGACAAAGCAATCACAGCAACGTGTTTTTCAAAGAAATATCATGATTCCAGCAGAATATCAAAGCTGTGGCTATTGACAGTATAGGCCAGCAGGCCAAGACTGTCCAGAGGAACTCACAGGAATTTGTGTTTCCCATAAACGATAACAGTACACTCTACAGTAGCAATGTCAGGATCACTCATGCACCCAGGTCAGTGCTCCAGCATGTACAGCAAACTATCAGCACCACTTGAGTGACTCAGTTCCCCAGCAGAATAACCCCATAGTAACAATATGGTACCCACTACTTAACACACCCATCTACCACTAATTTCACTACCAGAACACAGTATTACTCTCAAGGAAACACTGAAATGTGGAGTTGTGTTCATTGCGTCTCCTCATCTCCCCTGGGTATGTCTCTCCTCTGTAACAGTGCTGAACGGGGCCGGAATCTAGGTCTCTGTTATCAGGGGACACACTGTCACTCACTGAGAATAACGGGGGAGTGTGGCTCCTTCATGTCTGCCATTTATCTGTCATTTCCATTTCTCTGATCAGATGCTCTGCCACTGACATCCTCCAGCCTGCAGACCTCTGCTCTACTTGAAAACACTTCCAACATCAGTCCACGTCAGGCTGGCAACAATATCGGACACTGAAACTATTGATACTAGAAGCTGCTGTTCGGTAGCGCAATCATTTATGTGATCTTCACGCTCAGCATCCAAATATCAATCATCACCACATTACTCAATATCATTTTAGGCTCATGGGGACGGCATGCAGGAGCCCTTAGTCACACAGTTCGGTTCAAACAACACAATGCGTTAACAGAAATCACAACATAACCGCAAAATATTCCACTGGGGAACCCCCTGAAATTTCCAGCCATATGTACAGCTTGCGTCAAAAGTTAATTTTGACGCAGACTGTGTTTGTGAAAGTTTACTTAACGCTTCCGAAAATCAACAGTTTTTGACATCTTTCTTACACATCGGTTTTTTGACCTTTTCTTTCTCTATTTATCTTTGAAAACTTTTACAGAAATGACATTTTCATGGAATTGTAAAATTGTGTCCTCTATGGGTCAGAGGGTCTCATAACCCCTTTGACAATGGGACAACACATGAACAGACATGAATAGAGGTATAATCAATTAGCTCATTATAATAAACTACTCATCATCACATTATTAACCTCAAAACAGTTGCTCTGCCTTAGTGATTTCACCAACCACTTGAAAAAAGTGTCTCATTGTATGATTTTTTTTTGCAGCAGCAGCAGCAGGCTGTATCACAAAGCCAAAAGTGCGTCTGTGTGAAGTTTCAGTCTATGAATTAGTCTTCAGTTTACTGTATATGCATCAGTAAAAACAAAAAAGCTACTGAAAATAGGGCACCTTTGAAGGTGGCAGTTTGCCTTTCTATGCTTCGAGTACTGTACAAAGCTGCAAAACTGTAATGTGTTTCAGGTTCGCTCTCAAAGGGGCTTGTGTGATTATCGTCATCATGACCATGATCATGATATACACCCACTCAAGCTGGAAACTGCAACTGAGTCTGATTTTCCCTTTGATACAGAAGTGATCCAAATCAGGCCGAATAAGACTGAAACTGAACCCAATCTCCAGTTTGAAAAGTATGAAAATTCCCAGCATCCTCTGCTGCTGAAGAGCCAATTTCCCTAAGACAGTCACAATGTTCAAATCGTGGGTTGCTCTCTTGTGAAGAGCTACTGTGCAGAGCAGTGAAGGGAACTAGGCAAGAACCCATCTGCTGTATGTTTGCACACAGTGCTCTACCTGGACAATCACTGCATTCAAACTTCTGAGCAAATACTTTTAAGAATATACTTTGAACTTTGATTTAAACAAAAAATGTAAGCTGCTTTCCTTCAAAATGTGTCAGCCAAATGTTCACAGGCAAAGATTTTTGCTGAAACAAACAGCTGTTGAAATAGTGAATTCAACACGTGTTAAATCCTTCAAATAAAACCTTCAGTCTGACATTTGCTTTGTATTGCAGCTCAGGTACAAGCCTATAAGTTAAATGAGTACTGCATACTGTGCTGAAGCACAGGGCCAGTACCCTGCCTCTACATGGTTGAGTTAGGAATACCATTAGGGGGCAAACAGGGATAGAAAGAGAGGTAAGGAGTGAGGAGCTTGAGGCTGGCGTTAGACTCCATCACATCAATCATTATGCCGGATATCCATCACTTCTAGACAGTCGTAATAACATTTCACTCACTGCCTCTGTCCCTGTTTCTCCCTCTCACGTTCAGCCTGCCTTCCTACGCGTCTCTCGCACACATCGCTGGCCACAGTGCCCAGCTGTCAGGGCCATGTGGAGATCTGCAAAGTAAGACTGGCGCTGCATCTGGCCGCACTGGTGAAGAGGTGGCGATGGAGCTGTCTTTCTGCAGATTAGCAGCTGGGAACAGATTCTAGGGGGAATATTTTTATTGGGGTTGTGAGGCACTTCTTTCGCTTCACTTTTCGGTATTGTAAGAACACCCACACTCCTCCCTCTCATTCCATTTTGCTCCTACTCTGAAATGAAGGGACTGGGAGAGCAGTAACCTTAGAGTCCCAGAGAGATTGATGCCCCCTCCCCTCGAAACACCAACACGAATGAAATCCACTTATTCTCAGTTCCAATTAGCCCCAGAGAGCATGGCTCTGTCTGCCTGAAAGTGGCTGGTTAAGACAGAAGTGGGAGCAGAATTCAATGTCGTTTACATCCCTCCTCCAATTAGGAGTCGAGGAGATTGCAGCTGGCATGCTGCTGAAATGTAAGTGAAGGTATTACCAGCACAAACCACTTACGGTAACCCTAGCCGCCACTCATCAAGACTGGTGTGCACCGTGTTTGCCTGGGGGAGGTGCAGAAAGATAGCTGGCAGTTCTTCTGACAAGAGCTTATGTTTGTCTAGTCACAGAATGGGGGTGTTTGTCGAGTAAAACACACAGGCACCAGAAATTCAGAACCAAAATGTGTGGGACTCTATTTTGTTATGATCGCCTCTCCACAGAGTTGGCTCTGCTGGGCTGGCTTTGCTTTCCACTAGTTGCTGCCACAGTGAGAAAGGCAACCACTGCTCTCAGCACACTTAACAGTCTATAAGGGAGAGTTAGAGAGATAAAAACAAGCTGATAGTTATTCGAGCATATTTGAGACTGCAAAAAGGATAAAGAATTGCCTCATCATCTTGGATTTCTTTATCAGGTGGAGACATCTGGCAGAAGCTCTCAGCAGACCTCAGTTCAAAGTAGGTCCTGACTGGGTCAGACTAGACTTGATCCACAACTACAAACTTCACAACAACAAAAAATAATATAAAACATTTACTTGAATAAACTACGAGTAGGTAAATATCCCAACACTTGGAAGTGCATACACATTCCAATACACATAAGAACTAGCATATTTGAGGACATAATGTATTTGAGATAGTGTAACCAGGCGTTGCAAGCTCACGCAGGTATGGGGCACATCATTTTCCCACTTGCAGTATTTCATAAATATCCTAACATAAAGAAAAATCTCACAACAAACAACATTCCAAAAAAACTAAGTGTACAATATGTCCCTAAGAGAACCGATAATAAAAAATATTTAATACTGGATCTGTAAAGAATCTCAGAAATGCTCACTCCTACGTCAAATCTCCTTTTGCTTAAGTAATAAGAGAATGCCAGGTTTTTGACAAGAACATTTGCTATTTGTTGAGGCAAGAATGTTGCAATACTTTCCCCCTTTCCCTGGAATTTATTATTCATATCCCTGTGGAGTCAAAATGATAATTTTTCACGTTCATTGTTAATAAGGTTGTAAATTCATAAAGACAATGACGAGAGTTCTTAAAAGTTGATACAGACAGTCCCCGGGTTATATAGCATATATGTAAGATGCATGGCATATACGGAGGCACTACTCACTGTATTTATGAGATAGACAGTGTCATAAAATGGTGCCGTATGAACACATCACACGCTAATGTAAAGTTGCTAGGGGATACTTGAACGTATCGCTCAAGAGTAAAATCTGAGCTATGTAGCATCTTCTGGAACGTAACCCTCATGTAACTTGGGGTCTGTCTCTATGCTAAAAATTTGGTATAAAT